CCCCAAAACCCCAAAACCCCAAAACCCCAAAACCCCTTAAGTTAACCAAGAGGTTGAATTTTATAAAAGTGAATAAAATAAATAAAATGAAAATAAGGCAAAAAGCTAAGACAAGAGCTGAGTCAAGGAAAAATCACAGAGATTTTATGAGTAGGATCAGGGACAGAACCTCCAAGGGGGCTAAAATGAAGCCCAAGATTCCTGATACTTCTAGTATTCATTCAACAGTTATCAGGGCTGATAAATCTCACATTACAGCTCCAGCTGAGGCAGTGATGAAATTTTATAAGACTTCATATAATTTTAGAAAGAAGAAATTTAAAAAAGGTAGCTATTCGACTCCTTACAAATGTTTGAATCTTAAAAATACTTCTTACAACTATTCGACTACTTCTACAAAGAGGTCTCTCAGAGGAGAGAGCTCTTCTCCAAAGATTTCAGTCAACCAGAGTCGAGAAATAAGCAGTATAAAGACCAAAAGCGTTATGTCTACTAGGGAGAAAGCGAGGGACTCAATTCAGAAACTCTTAATACCTCCTAAAATGTTAGATCAGAATTTGACTGTAGAAAATAACGAAATAATGGATTCTAAAGACTTCAGCTATCAGTTAGAAAACATTTTTGTAGATCATAAGATAAATGACTATAAACGGTTTGACTATCGAGCTCATTGCGATCAAAATTATTCACTAAAATCATACTTCGGAGGTGAGTATAACAAGGAAGAAGTAGATGGCCTTCTAAAGATTCATACTGTGTATGAATACTCTCCTGGACACATTCTCAAGGAGAAATAACATGCCTTTTGTACCAGTAGTTCTGATAATCAGCGGCAAGGTTGGAGTCTACCACTACCCTCAAGGTAAGAAAACTTTATTCAGGGTTTTAAAGAGCAAGGATGTTGTTGGAGATTATGAGTTAAACTTTGTTACAACACGAACTTCTCAGTATGAAGTTCTAACTAAAGTAAAACTCCTCAAATTCCCCAAAGATGAGTATGAACGAGTCACCTTTGAAAGAGAGAATAGACTAAGACAGCAGAAAATTCATTATTTGAAAACTCATTTTCCTTTCTTTAAAGAAATGGAGGAAGAGAAGCTTAATAGGCTATCTAAGAAAGTAAAACAGAAGAAAATGAAGTATAACGATGTTTTGATTCTTAAAGGAACAGCTCCAGACTGAATGTATATTATAAAGGAAGGATCCTTCAGAGCAGAAGTTCAGCTTGACACTTGTCAAGCAAATATTTGGCCGATACATTATAAGCTGTGGGAAATGAAGGAGACCAAAACTAACCAATGTTTCACCTCTGTAATTTTTAAGAAAAATAAGATCTTTGGAACTTCAAATATTCTCCAGAACAAGCCTTTCGTATGAGACATAGTATGCAACAGTAAATAGAGCAACTGTGTATTGTCTTGAGATCCAGCATCTTCAAGAATTCTTGCTTAAAGATGAGTTTCGGCAAATCAAGGATGTAAAATATCCTTGCATTAAAAAGGCTCAGAAAGAGCTAATTTTTATTAAGAAGAGCAGCAAGCATCATAAAAGAATAATTCAGGAAGCGATTCAAGCCTCTTCAGTTCAACATAAGTAAATTATTTGCATAATGTTACAGTATTGAAGCGAAGAAGAACTACTCAAAGCATGTCCAGCCATGGGTTGATTCTCTTGACCTCAGAAATCACTGAAGGATGATGAGTCAGATTCGGAAAGAAAAGGAGCAAGATTACTTAGAGCACTTGAAGTACACTAACCCAAGAAGGTGTAAAAGTAAGCTTACCAATGATCTTTTAGCCAGGACAACATTTAGAAGGAACATATTGGATAAAGCTCAATACATAAAGAATGCTGAATACTAATAGTTGTTTTAAATTACTGCCAGCCTATAATAGCATATTTTTGATAATTTCAAGCAATTTAGCAAATATAATGCGGAGCTATAAAATTTGTGTTTTATACTTTCAACATTATGCAGAGTTTTAGGGGTTTTGGGGTTTTGGGGTTTTGGGGTTTTGGGGTTTTGGGGTTTTGGGG